TCAGGATTATTTCTTTCTAATTGTTCTGGTGAAATCAAAAGGTATTACAAAGAAAGAATTAACAGAAACTGTCTAGGTATTTACCAATTTCCCTTTTCTTCCTGGGCAGTCAAAATTCCTTTCCCAGCTTCCTTACTATTAGCTGCAACAAGTTGATTAAGATATGGCCAATGTGTTATATGTTAAACACTTTACAGTTCTGGCCCATTAAACAAACAAACAAATAAACAAAACACTCCAATACTTCACTCTCTTTCATCACCCAGCTGTTGAATAAAGTCGACTCTGGGTATCCAGAGGAGAATGGAGCCACAAGATGGAAGAAGCCTGGGTCAATGACTGACCAAGAGGAGCCTCTCCCCAAATGTCAACCATGCTGTCCTAACATGTGAGAGAAGAACTAATTTTTAGATGTTGTCAGACCACTAATATTTTGAAGTTGTGCCAATAATCAACCCACTCTGACTAATTCGAGAGTTATATCATAATGCATATGAAAATTATATTTATCCATATATTTCTGACCCTCACAGGTTTTTCTAAAAATTTGAAGCAAGGTTTTATATAAAGTATAAAGCGCTTAACAATCAGTATATGAAGAGCAATCATTGAAATAATGAAAACTACACTGATAGTAGAGTCAAGCTTTGAGACCTCCTTGTAACTAGAGGCAGTAGGGTTCCCAGAGATAATTTAAAATACAAATTATTTGCCATATTAAGCGTTCTTATGCTGGTGATAGCAAAAATGTTGAAATGTCCCCCTTAATTTTTAATGCTCCAATTCCACTACTTCTTATATATTCAGAAATAGCTTGATATAGGTGATCCATTTCATTTTGTTTATTTCCAGATCCACTCATTAGGGCAAAGGAATACAAGTTGCTAAGTAGAAAGCAGCCTAGCTGAGTCACAGCCAAAGCTTGAACTCTCTGTAAGGTCTGCTGCTGGGATTGTGCCCCTGAGTGCTGAGCCTTTGTGTTGCTGGGGCAGAGGCAAAGAGTTCAGGGAAGGATGCTCTCCCTCTCTTCACACCTCTACTTCCCATGTCATCCTCAGTGAAAAAGGCTCCACGTCCAATGGACCAGGACCCTTCTAAAGCAATCTCAGTTAAAATCTACTTTGTTTAATTCTGTTCTACATCAAAATCATAAAGGAATGCTATTACATATTCTTTTCTTAGGTCCCGAACCTTGCATTTCAAATTTAGTACTTTAATACATCTAGCATCTGATGTAAGGTAGAGTTCTAAGAAAATTTTCATCCCCAGGAAGCCGGTTTTTGAATATATCAACTAAGCACCATCATTTCTCCACTGAGATTTTGGGTCACATCTATACTGAGTTTTAGTATGTGTCTCTCTACTTCTCCACTGATTCTTTCATCTATTCATTCATTGTATCATTTTATTATAATGATCCAATTCATTTGTAGCATCTCTGATTTGGTAAAACAGTTCTCCATTGCTTTTTATAAAATTAACTTAGCTACTTTGTTATATATATTTTGGGGGAAAAAGTTTTTCAAATTTGTCATAAAATCTAGATCAAATTTTGATTATTTATAGATTAAAGGTATAAATTAATTTGCGTATTATATTAAGCTACCCGATCTAAGAATAGAAATGTCTCTATTTTGATCTTTCACATCTTTGTAGAGTTTCAATATTTTCTATATAGGTCTCATATATTCTTTATTAATTTCTAGATATTTCCAATTTTTGATTGCTATTTGTGTAAATTTACTGATTATTGCTGATAGAATATTATTAAATATTTAAGTTGATTTTATATTTGACAACTAATACACTTTTAGTTGGGTTATTACTTTTTGATCCTATCGGGGTTTTCTTTCCACTCTATATTGTTTATTTTCAATTCTCTTTGTAATACTTGTATAAGATCAATTCTGCAGTAGACTTGATTAATTATTTTCAATAGTCCAGCTTTTTTTAAATTTCACTAATATACTCTAAAAATCTAACATGCTTTTTTGATCTCATTCTTCTTTGCTGTATTTACTGTCTTATTTCTATTATAGCTTTCCTTCTAATTCCTTTAGGTCTTAGCCATTTCTCCTTTTCCAGCATCTTACGTTTTGTCATTAATATTTCTATTTCTTGATATCAAGGTTTCTCAACCTCAGCTCCATTGACATTTTGAGCTGTTTAATTCTTTCTTGTGTGTTTGGGGGGTTGTTCTAGGACCTGGAAGTGTTTAGCAGCACCCCTAGCCTCTACCCACTAGCTGCCTACAATCTTCTGTCAGCCATGGCAGTCACACCTGTGTCCAAACATTGCCAAATGTCTCCTGTGATGGAGAGGAAATAACTTCAGTTGAGGACCACTGGAAGTTGATCAAAGCCATATAATAAACTGAGAAGTATTTATTCGAGAAAACCAACTGAACCTAAAATAAGAACACTGGTAAGCTATGATGTTTCAGCCTCGGGCGGCTACCTTACCCTCCAATGCCATCAGCACTACAGTTCTCCCAGGGTGTGGCAAGTTATGAAAGTAAGCCACCTTACTGTCAGGGGAGCTAACGTGATTTGCTAGGAAAACTCCAAGGACCAGAGAGGTATCTGAAATAACAGTAATCTCTGGCAAATGAATAAGAAAAGTCAGTGTAGCAGCTCACTTAATTTGTGAAACTGATTAAGGCAAGCAACTAACAGCCAACTCCCCAGATATTCAATGGGAGATCCATAAACCATAATAGGCCTTGATTAGCTGCCACATATTCCTGGCTGTCTGAAAGGCTACATGCATGTGCAACGCTGCATGTATGTTCAGAAAAGACCCGAGAGGGCTTTAGTGAGCTACACATCCTTGGCTAAGTGGGAGGCCTTGTACGTGAGCAGAAGAGACAAGAGGGCCAGCAGGATTAAAAGCTGAATCAGATCAATAATTGCCTTCACTTTGTATGTGTTCCCCAATGAACACAAAGATCCAGCGGCAAAAGGATGAGGACTTACTATCTCAAGTCATTTAAGCACAAACTTTGGTCAAGCCTGTTGACACAGAAGTAATTCCTAGAGGCCAGGATAAATATAAAAAGCAGGAATAAAAAACAAAAACAAAAACCCTGAGGCATCAGCATTAATCCACATAATTAGTGCAAAGAAATCCCTAAACAAACACCAGAAGGACTGCAACCCCCATGGGAGAATCCAAATCCAGATTTGTTACAATGTATTACATAGTATCTCCAGTTTCCAACAAAAAATCAGCAGACATAAAGACGAATAGGAAAGCATGATTCATACTTTGGAAAAAACAATGTCTCTAATGGATTATAGATGCTGGACTTCAAAATAGCTATTATAAATATACCAAAAGTACTGACGTAAACTATGCTTAAAGAATAAAGGCAAGCATAATGACAATGACTACTCAAATAGAAAATACCGATTAAAGACCTAGAAATAGAAAAAGACAAGCAAATAGAAATTCTGGAGTTAAAAGTAGAGTAACCAAAATAAAAAAAAAAAATTCACTAAAGGGACCCAGGAGAGTGGCATTAATCATGATATCCAAAGACAGGAAGCAATCCAAATGTACATCAACTCGTGAATAAACAGTATGTGATATATCCATATAGTGGGATACTACTTAGCAATAAAAGACATCCAGCATTCATGCAGTTAATATAGGATAACCTCAAAACATTATGTGAGGTGAAAGAAGCCAGATGCAAAAACTACAAATTATTTCTTTCGTATGAACTATCCATAAAAGGCAAATTTTAGAGGTAGAAAGATCAGTTGTTGCTTGGAGCTCGGAAAAGGACCCAGAATTGACTACAAGTGGACATGATTGTTCTTGTCTTGGTGATGAAAATGCTCTAAAGTTGGATAGAGTTATTAAAATCATTAAAAGGTTTATTTAAAATGAGTGACTTATGTTATGTGTTAAGTTATTTGCCAATAAAGCTGTTAAACTATTGTTACTCATATTCATATCAAGTATAAATAGGATTTTTATGGATCAAACGCATTATATTTTTCTTACAAATAGTAATAATCATTATCATAGTGTTAGCAGTAATTGTATATTTAGCCTATATTATATATCATTATATGAGGCTCTTTAAATGTATAATCACATTATTTATGAGAGAGAAAATAATAACCATCATGATACAAGTAAATGGAGACTAAGAAGAAAAAATTGCTAAATGACTCTTACCCAGGTAGCTTGAATCCTACTTTCATAGACTCAACCAAAGCTTTTTATAGTTTGTTAGCTATGTTTGTGTGTGTGTGTGTGTGTGTGTGTGTGTGTGTGTGTGTGTGAGCATAAGAGAGAAATGATAATGACATAAGTTAATATTGGGCAAATATGTTCAATGGAATGGAATGCTGTAGATAATACATTTTAAGACTTCATAATTACTTGGTAATACATACACATGTATATAAAATCACTGTTAAAATTATTAATACCTTAGGGATTAAAATTTCAATAACTTTTAATTGCCAAATGATATTTTAATTTCATTCTCAGATTTTAAGAAATTTAGTGAAAAGTTATCCTTTTGACTTATTAACCACTTGAGAATTGTAGCAGCATTTTTCTTAGACTTCAGACCTAACCATAAATTTAAAAATAATGTCTATGTGTAAAAACCTAATAGGTTATGATAGTATAATATAGATCTCAAAATAAGAGAAAACTTGATGTACTGTTTTCACATTTTTACTAATACGGAAATGTAGCTTATAGCTACCTTATAAACCATTCTAAGCTTTACTTTAGTAACATAAATGGTCAATTACAAAAAATAGAGTTTCTTTCCTTTGTTTAACATAAGAAAAAGAATTGCTGATTCTCTGACTTGAAATAAATTCATAAGCTTTATTATTAGCCATTAGAAGAGGCATTTTGCTGACACAAAGATAAAATAAATTATTTATAATCTGTAAATCTTCATAGTGTAAGAGTTTACATCAGTGATTATCCAGGACTGATAAAAAAGAACAGTTAGTGGAAAATCTTACCACGCCAATGGAAAAGTAATTATTGATGATACTGTAAGGCACTGGGTCTCCCTTCTCATCTTTGTCATTAGGTATGACTTCAAACTTCCACCTGTCCAACATGATTTCTGTGCTGTTTTCAATGTCTTTTAAGATTTTCATCAGATTCTCACCTTCATAACCTAACAGGAAAAAAAAGTATCTTGAGAAAATATATAACTAAATAACAAAAGCTATATTTATATATGTTTAAGTATATGAATGCATATCATTCTAAACCAAAACAAAGCATTTTTACAGCTAATTCTAAGACAAGTTTAAAAATTAACCATAATCTTATTATACTTATGCCAATTTTTTTTTTAGCATTTAATTTGCAACTCATATTTCTCTCCTATGGTACAAATTCTCAATATAGCCACCTGCCCGATGAACCTCTCCACTGCACACCCCTTACAGAACTTTTTTAATCCATGGTCTCAAAATGGAATTCATGACCTGCATCAGTGTCATCCTCCTGTGAACTCTCCCTCTGAAAGACAACACCCTCCACCCTGAAGCTGAAGGAAAGCCTGGATGCCATGTTCATCTCGTCCCTTGATTCCACGCCCTCTGCAGGCTTTATATTTGATAACACTTCTTTCCTGAAGCCAACCTCCCCAAATAATGGCTTCTACACAAACCTACAGAATAGAGTTCTCAAAACTAGCCTTGCCTCAGAACGAGTGCACTGCACTGGAGTAATCTGCACCTTTCTCCCTACAAGCTCCCTTTACCAAGGCTGCCCTACAGGAAAGGATCAACAAATACATTTTTTAAAATAAATCTACTATAGATAGTCCCCATGCCGGAAAGAAAGTTATCACTTAATACTATATTTTCTCTTAAATCTATAGATATCTAACATTATAGTTAACTAAGACCATAGCCTGATCCTGTCTGTGTTACTTAAGTGTTTGCTTTTAACATTTTAAATAGTTTCCTCCTCTGTAAAACTTTAGGTTTGTTCTAAGAATTAAATGAGGACAAAAATGAGAAGATGCATAAAAAGTCTTAGTACATGAGACATAAGGCTGGAAAGTTGTCAACAATATAACACTGATGATAAGTGCCGAATTTGATACATGATACTAAGTTAAATATCTCTCTAACTCTATATATATGAAATTATATTTTGAGTTAGAACAATGTTTTTATAGATTTTTTTCCTGTGCCCACCTTCAGTCTATATTTTAATAATTTATTCATTGAACAAGTAAATGCCAGAGGCTATGAGTCCTCATTAGAGGTGCTAGCACACATAACATTGGAAAACCTAATTGGATTAAAGGAAGAAAGAACAGACACTGTAATGTGCCAACATTTTCTAAAGATGAATAAATTACATTTATGGTGTATTTGTTGAATTAACTGTTAGAGGGTTGAGAAAGCCAGAAACTAGAACTATGTCTTACAGCCTACCATTACTTCTTACCTCGCACAGGTCTAAAAACTAATTATGCACTATTTAATATACAACAGTAAAGAGTACAACAAACAATGATTACATGGATATAAACATTAAAAGTATTTAATATTATTTCTATAGAAGTCACATCATATTTTATAGCATAATTCAAAAATTATGAACATATATAAGATGCATATAATTATACTCAGTGATAAAGCATTGAATTGTTTAAACTACAAGACTATAATAATTAAGTATACTGACTTTTTCAGATATTTCTTAGTTGTTCTACCCTCACTTTCAATGTTTATTTTTTCTTAATTTTTAACTTCTTTTAAAGCCTGTCAAATAAATCTTATATATCCATGTTTCCCTAGTGAATCGAATAAAAAATAGTTAAATATTTCCACCTGTTTTGCAAAGTCTACTCCTGTTTGAAATAAGTATAATGGTCTTCAGGTATAAACAAATTTACATATATTAAACTAATATTATATAATATGGAATGGAAATGTTGTATAATATATAATATAATATACACATGCTCAGCAGAAATACGAGTAAATGATAATACTTTAAGACAGACATGGAGCTTGTCCTCAGCTATGTCTGCGGTTAATATCAGCATGGTTCAACAAAACACTGGAAAAATGTAGGAATGACAACTGACCAAGATAGAACACAATAGAAATGAATTTAGTGAAAATTAGCACAGCTAGCTTAAGGAGGGTCAGTCAACTTCAACTCGTTACCATTGGGTATGTTCTCCAAGTTTTTATGGCCAAATATGAAAAAGCTTAGTATCAATCAGCCTCCTAGCCAAGTAAAAATGGAAAGAGAGAGGCAATAAATCTATTTAGAGAATCATATCTGCAGGCCAGAAGTAATTCACAGAGGTGAACAATTCCAAGTTGTAGTCCCAACTTAACAAATATCTGCACTTTACTCGTTTCTGTTTCTCTATACTCAAGCTTGTTAAATAGTAATTCATAACTAGAAATAGGATTCCTGAACTCAGAAGACCATATTTTTTAAAAGACAAATTAAACTTACTAAATATGCAAACAAAAGCTTATTTCCAGAAAAGGATAATATTTTGCTTCCTTTTTTTTTTTTTTTGCTTTAAAGTCTATAATCACTCTAGGCTAAGAAACAAAATGAAAACATAAATAGTATTTATCTTTAATTTAATGATACACTGTTATAATGACTGAATCTATCTAAAGTCATAGAAACTTTTACAAATTTCAAATCATGCAAAGGAAAACAACGAAATATATTTGTAAGAGTGGGCTCCCTCTAAAACTCGGTCCCTTATGCCTTCACTGTTCACAAAACAGCATTTTTTTGCAATAATCTTCAGACTTTTATTAGACTGACTATTGCCAGAAAAATTTTATAAGAATGTAAGTTGTTTTTATTCAAATGCCCTAGGTCATACTATATTTGTACAGTGTTACATTTTCAAAATATGGAGATACACTCACAAAAAATAAGCCAAGTCAATATATTCCAGTGACATTAAATGAACTAAATGATTATCAGTTGAATAAAGTACTTCCTTTCCCAATGTTAAGCATAATGATAAATCATAGCATTATAGAAGACTCAGCACAGACACTGGGCAAACAAGTCGATAGTTGCATATGAGAAACCATGTGGCAGGAACAATTATTTTCTTCAGATTCTGATGAGGAGTGAAGGACACAGTTGTTTAAGCAACTGGCTCAAGATTACATGCCTGACAATAAATAATCCCACCCCAGAGCATGTCTCTTTATAAGTAAACTCTAGCAAACAGTACGTCCATTATCCTAATTGCTCACCTTGGGCATCTTGCAGCCCCGCTTGGTACCTCACTTTCCCAAAGCCCCTCTCCAGTCCCCTGGCCAGGTCTCTCAGTCTCTCCCTGAAAAATGTCACTCCAGTTTGTCCACTTGTCTCATTTGCTTCACCAACCCCGTGACCCAGTCCCTTTATTCTCTAATTACAGCTATGAGTTCTTATTTTAAAAACTATGATTCTCCACATTTCCACATTTTCTTAACAGTTCTTTAAATCCCAAAGTTAATCTGTTTTTTAAAACATCAATGTCACAGTGTCACTCTGCTTTTGAACTCAAGAGTTGCACTCTCTGTTTCAAAGTCAATCATGGAAAATTTTACCATGACAACCAAGACCCTGCCTTATCTGGCTCTGGATTCTTTCTTCAATGTCTTATTAGTCACCTCCCTCACTCCAAACCTATCCACCACCCCATGACCTCTTCTCAAGTCACATCAGCCTTCCTTCAGTCCTTACAGAGAGCAATTTCTCCTTCATATTTTACATTCAGCTTAAATGTTACGTCCTCAGAGAGGCCCTCTTAACGATCTAGCTGAATAGTTGCTCTCTGTTTTTTCTCTAAAAATACAGTCTGTTTGAGCCTTTCATAGCCTTGTTCTTATTTTGTAATTATTTATTTCATTGTTCACTGATTTATTGTCTGTGTACTCAATGAAAATGTAATCTCCAATAGGGAGGAGCCCTCTGTTTATTTTCTCACTCTGTATCTAGCATCTTGAACAGTGTCAAAACATGCCAGACACTCACAAAGAGTTCATCATCAATGTACACTTGACATACTATAATCCATGTGTCTTTGGCCACAGATAATAGTATCTTCTGAATTGTTTTATAAGGAAATAATTATGAGATATCCAAAATGGAAATTCCATATCAATTTTGAGATTTAAGCCATTTGCTTATTTGGAACTGAAATAAAATTACTTTTTAAAATTTATTTTTTGCTATTATTTGGGAGGTGGAGGGGAGGTAATTAGATTTATTTTTTAATGGAGGTACTGGGGACTGAACCCAGGACCTTATGCATGCTAAGCACAGTGCTCTACCACTGAGCTACACCCTCCCCTCCCAAACTAAAATTACTAATTTTCAAATATTGAAAATATTTTGCAGAGGAATATACAAGAAGCCACATGCATGATTTCCTTTACTTAATACAATATATATATATATATATATATATATATATAAACACTGGCAAATATGGGCATCTCATAAGCAATTTTTCATTCTATCTTTAGATAACTTTAGATTCTATACAATTTAACTCAATATTTTATAATTTTCTTTTACTAAGTCATATTCTTAATGAAAATTACAAATATATCAGATACCATGTTTTTAACTGGCACTCAAATTCTGTCATATATACATATGCATATATACATCTTAGAAGTCACAAGTTGCCCAGTACTCATGGAAGAATTGTTCTCAAATTTTGTGGTAAATCATAGTTACCCATGGAGTTTATTTAAAAAGAAAATCATCTGACCAGGTCCCGCCCCCAGAGGATTTCCATTCAGCATATTTGAGGTGAGGTCAGGCCACTATATTTTTAACAAGCTCTCCAAGGATTTCTGATTCACATTGTCTTAGTAGACACTTTTCAAACTTCTCTAAGTGAGTTTAGATGCTAAAAAAATTTAGGATTCAATTCTTCCTTCTTTGAGCAGAATATGGTTCTTGGTTATCTTCAGGTAAGTAGAGCTTATTAATGACATTTCAAATTATTTTCAGAGCTCTTCCTGAAGAATTTTCCCCTAACTCACCGTTATGTCTACACTGTTCCATTTTAAGTTCCTTGATTATGTCAACTGCCTTCCTACCTCTGGGCCTTTGAACTTGATGTTCCCTTTGCCTATAACATCCATCCCCAGTTCCAGAGGGCTCTGTTATTATCCACCCATTATGGTTCTCCCTCTGTCATCTTGTCAATTCCTAATTGAGGCGGGTCGTTCTGTTATCAGCTTACTTGTCAGAAAGAAGTCTCACCATTTACACATGACTTTGTGTTTCACTAAAATTTAAGGCCCCTTTGAAAACAGACCTTGTTTTCTATTCTTAACCTTGTATCCCAAATACAGAACATGCCACCTGGTGTACAGTGGGTCTCAGAAAATGTTACATCTTATATTCATTCCTGAACAAATCATTCATTAGTTTTTCATTTTTTTCGCTTTTATTTGTGATTTTTCCACATAACTCAGAGATTAAAAATCTGAACATTAATTGAGAGTTAATGCATGCTTATGTCATGTCTTAAGTTGGAAACCCAAAACCAGAGAGGGATGGAAGCTGGCTTGCCCCGTCAAGGCTATAATTAGCACTCACAGTCTAAGGCTTGGCCCACTATTTCTTTTTCTAGCTCAGATTATTGTTCAAAATTATATCCTGTATATTTGACAACAATTACATTTGCTAAAATCACATGGAAGCTGTCATACAGCGAAGAAATGCTGGATTTAGTTTTTTGGGGGAAAGTGTGTTCTGCATCATTTTTCTGTGTCTTAAGATTTTTGTTGTTGTTTTAGCTATTTTATTTTACCTCCTCCCCATCGCAGGCATCTTGCTAGATCATTGCCGGTCCCAAGAGGCAGAATAGCCACTGGAGGATGCTTGACTACGTTAGCCTTTTCTGTAGAATTGAAAAGTTAAAATAAACTTTTGATCACAGATAGAACAACAATAACAAAAAAAAGAAGGCAGCTTGGCAAGAAATGAAGGCATTCCAATAGGTACTTATAAACAAAAAGTTATATTTTATAGATATATACAATTATAAATTATGATTAGTTTGTGTATCTTTCTAACAATTTATAAAACAAATAAATGACCTAAGTCACAAAGTGACAGGAATTTTCAAGACTTATACATGAGGAAAACATTTTAAATACATTAACACAGTTAAAAATTATGGGGAGCTTGATTAAATTGCACTGAAATTCTCAATGGTGCAGGAATATGCAACATAGGCATACACACACAGGGACATCACCAGAGTGCAGGAGTAGGTTCCTATATGCAGTCCTTTTGCAGCATCAACTCGAGGTGCATTCTACTTTAAGGGATAGAGTAGCTTGAAAACAGTCAAGTTCTAAAAGCTAGTGAAGTACTAAGCTTGGTTGTGTTGTTCCCACTCATGGTGCTGCCAGAGTCAACAACATACAGGCTGGATAACTCTGATAGCACAAGGTTTTGACTGAGATTCATCTTTACATAATACAGCTTTTGGGTTCAGTAAAGCTACTTATCACTGAAATTCCACCTGCTTTTGTTTAAATCATAATATGATTTAATGAATTGAATCTCACAAACCTGCATTACTTTTTATTTATTTTTTCTGCCTTCTCAGCCCCTCAAAATAAGTAGATGTCTTTGTGTAAGAATGGGGAGGGAATACACTACTTAGAGATGTGCCACGTATTATTATATTGTATTAGCCGAGGCCTAGACTTTGGGAGTGATGCAAAGCAACAGTACTCTACTTTCTTCACTATAATTCTCTCAAGTCCTCAGATACTGTTCAAAGCAACTCTTTAATTTTTTGCAATTCTTGAATTCTGGTTTTCTCCTTATATATAGAATATTAATACTACTAATATTGTTCATTGAAGTCCAAAGAATACAATTTTCCCTGTTTTTTAAAAAATGTTAATAGATTAAAGTTATTAGATGCTTAACCAACAGTGTGCTGACAAAATGTTTTCATTTTTAATTTAATATTTTTGAGCGTATGAAAGGGTAGAATATTCTCAACTGCACTAAATAAAAGTTTGCTTCAATATATATAGATAGCAAAACCTCTTTTGAATCAATTCTTTCCTTTTTGTAAAAGGGCCTGTTTCTACAAAAGAATTGATGAATGCACATTTGGAAATACCTGAGGGTTTACTAAATTCCACGAGAAATGAATGAGAAAAGAAGGATTTCTAGATAATTATAAATTATTTTGTCAGTTAAAAATCTGAAATATAGAAGATTAAACTAAACCAGTAAACAGTGTGCAACCTGCCAGACATCTAATTATACCACTGTAGTGTCCAAAGGTATGGATGCATTAAATAAATAAAACACACAGAATTTAAGGTTGCCCTTCTCACCCAGCTACATTAAATATGTTTTCATTACCTATGCAGTCCAAAATCCACCCGACAGTTCCATCTCCACCGCAGGCTAACACTCTGAAATCAGGAACATCACGGAAAAAGTTTAACCTGAAAGATAAGCATGTTACAGCGCATGATTGATATTTCAAAAGTAGGACATTTTTAGTTTTGTACATTTAGCATTTCGTCTAGGGAAAAGTTTTCATTTTATTGAAAAATATTAAATTCTTGTCTAGAATAAAATCCTATGATAAAGGTACTAATATGTATTAATTTAAACATTGTCAATGTATTCTAGATATAATTCTATAATAAATATATATTTTCTCTTATCAATTCTAAAGTTAAAAAATAAGACTAATACACTTTAATAATTTTGCTAAGATATTTCCCAAGTGTGATCTGTATACAGTTCACATAATCGAGAGTAACATATATAATGCTGTTCCATTTAATAATTTTTATTAATCAAAAATTCTTTTTTGAGTAATTATATAAATGTAACTATAAGGTTGGTAAATATATCTTTAAGAGGTTTCTGCCTTTTCCATTACTGGGAGAAATTGATCAGGCTGCACGGGGGGTTCTAGCCAACTGTTGTCAGTGTTTCCTTCTGACTTTGAATCTGCAAATAGAAGCCAAGCCTCCCCTTGTCTTTTGACCTGGAGGGCAGCGTGTGCCACCCCAAACACTCAAGACTGATTGCTGGGTCAGCTGTGATAAACGCCTGCTGCTTCTGCTGCGACTGCATGCAGCGTGCTTGTTAACGGAACCCACCTTGGGGAGGACTACAAAGGTAGGCAATACGGCCAGCTGTACAATCATAAATGCCTATTTTGTTGCAAAAAAAGAGTTGAAACAGGACAGAAATATTTGGAATGTGTCTCTTCACTTTTTTTTGCCCCAGAGAAAATGATAATAATATAATATAGTTGGCCCTCCGTATCTGCAGGGCCCAGTTCTCTGGATTCAACCAACCAGGGAACAGAAATATTATAATTTTAAAAAAAGTCCAGAAAGTGTCAAAAGGCAAAACTTGAATTTGAGGAGTGGCACCTATTTACAGAGCATTTATATTGTATTTACAACTATTTACATAGCATTTATATTGCATTACGTATTATAAGTAAGCTAAAGATGATTTAAAGTATACCAAACACTATGCCATTTTATGTAAGGGACTGAGAGCATCTGAAAATTTTCATTTTTGTGATTGTCCTGGAGCCAATCCTCTGCAGATATCAAGGGACAACTGTATGCGGTCATCAAGAAAGTTTTCTATATGTTTACATATATAAATGTACGTGTTAACTGGATCACATACATATTTTAAACATAAATGGGGTTAGCTATACATCCTTTTAATTTATTGAAGTGCATTATTTTGACTTAAAAGTGTCAGGGATCTTTCCATGTCAGTGGATATATCAGGATTTATAATCAGTGACTGTGTTAATAGGGTGTATATTCTACGATTAAATAAGTCATTTCATGTACTTTAAAACTAGTGTTTCATTATCACAAAAAAGTATTGCAGTTAACAATACTTGAAGTGCATTTATGTGAACACGTGCATTATGTCTGAAGGCTAATCTTCCAGAAGGGAAATGTCCCACTACATCACGTTATCCTCCGAAGAGCTCCCACTGTACAAGGTGTGAGTGTACATTTCCCCGAAACTCCAAAACACTACACACAAACCACTTTATGATATTTCTTCAAAAATAGCGTGGCGCCATTACTACGAGATTACACTCCTCTGTATACTAGTGGGTTGAACATATTTTTGTAAGTTTACAGAACATGTGTGACCTCTTTTGTGAACTGCAGCTTCAAGCCTTGTACCTCTTTTCCATGAAGTTTCTTGTATTTTACTATTATAAACTCTTTACATATTATGAGTGCTATTTTCATTTAAATTAGCATCATTAGAAAAAAACAATTTGTTAATATAATACAAACAGTGCATAAATATAATAGTAATGTACAAAAATCAACTAAAGCCCCACCCCTTGATAATACGAGCCACAGATATGTAGAGCATGAAATTTTCATGTATTTCCTCATATACTGTATTGTGGTTGTTTACCATTTGTTAGACATATTGCAGTATGTTCTTCCAGACTACAGGTTAGTCTGCTTTTATTATATATAATAAACACGTATGTATCAACTGCCCACCCCAGAGGGTAGAACTTTTCTAGTAACTTACATATACCTCAGTGTTCTTTCACTAAAGCATCTCCTTCCTCATTGACAAAGTTGAGCACTGTTCTAAATTTCAGGTTATCATGTGCATGCCATAGACAAAACATTGTTTTCTGTTTTGCTTTTTCTTCTTAGCATTGTGACTAAGATTCCTCCATGTAATTGCTGAATTTCCATCCATGTAAGTTGAAGTTATTTTTATTTCTATTGTTGTATATACTACCATTTATGTGAATGTACCCTTTTAAATCCACATCAATGGACATTTAGATTGATTAGTTTTATGCTCTTATAAAAAATGCATTACTGGGCACACTTTCCAGTGCTCAAGGACAATGACTACTTTTGGAGCAGTGTGTACTTACATGCAACTTTACAAGATAATGCCAATCTGTTTCCTAGAGAAATCATACCAAAGCGTCTACCCACTAGGAAGGCAGAAAACACTGTGCTCAGCCCCTCCTAACATACTTTTTAATTTCTAATGGCACACTTTAGGATTTTATATATTTCCACATTTGTGAAATGTCTTTCCATATCTTTTGTTTCTTTTCTCTACTTTTCTTGTTGATTTGTAAAAATTCTTGACGTATTCTTGATTTTAACCCGTTTTGGTTTGTTTGGTTTTTGTAAATACCTTCTACAGGTGGAAAAGTTTTTTTTTTTTAATTTTAGTTTCTTTAATGTGTGTTTTAATTAAGAAGATTCTAGTTTTAATGGATACAAATTTATCAATTTTTTAATAAATGGATAGCAGTTTAGCCTGTTTTTTAACAAGAAATATTTATTTCCTCAGAGGTCAGAAAAGAAATCATATATACTCTCTTAAAATTTCAGCTTTACTTTTTTATATAGAAATTTTATGTGGTTATGCAAGATATAATGGTGTTAGGTATTATATCGATGATTGAGTGGAATATATAGTACATATAAAATATTCACCGTATTCTTTTGTGGTGGTGTCAAGAAGGAATCCCTTTCTTTCCTTTCTTCGCTGTCTTCCTTCCGCCCTCTGCCCTCCCTTTCTCTTTCTCCATTCCTCCTTTTCTTCCTTCCTTCCTTCTTTTCAACTGTTGTGCACCAATTTTTCTCTTCATTTTGAAATCCATCTTTTCATGTATTGGGTAATTCAACTTTCTATCATGCAAATCCATCATAAAAAAATTTCCATATATGGGTATTTTTCTTTTTGACTTCTATTTTATTCATGAGCTTGTCCATCTCTGAATAGTATCCTACTCATAACAATGACTATAGCTGCATAGTTTGTCCACTACATTCATTGGGCATGAAAACTCTTAGCTACCATTTCTTCTTTGCTTTTTTATAACGTTTTAAAGTTAATTTGTCATAGTCCATAAAAGTAAAAATAAAAACAAAAAAAATCACAATTAAAAAAATTAGAGTTATATAGATCAATTTTAGAAGAAATAACATCTATATGATGTTACTGATTTCCTTGTCCATGAATATATGAGTTTTCAATTTACTTAGATATCCTTTAATGTCAATAAATTTAAAAATTTTTCTGCATGTGGGTCTTACATGTACTTTGTTAAATTTATCCTTGGTTGTTTTATAGTTTTTGCTGGTATATCAACTTTTTAAGTTATTTATTAAAATTAATGTTTTCACTGCAGATATATATATATATTTTTTAACTTTTATGTATTGGTCTTATAAACAGCCAGTTTACTCTTGTTTCTTCTATTGCCTGTATTTTGTTTGTAGATTCATTTGCATTGCTATGTAAACAATTGTACTGTATGCTTTAACAATGGTACTATTAGTGTTATTCAATCCCTAGAAATGTTATTTCTCTCCCTATTTCATTGTTCTAGCCAGAGCTTCAATACTGCGTGGAATTAGAGTCTTGCTCCTGGACGGAATACTTCCAGAATTTCCCCACTGCACATGATGTTTGTTGTAGGGATTTTTATTTTTCTTCTTTTCTGAATGACACCATTTATAAGGTTAATAAAGTTTTCTTTTTTTCCTGTTACACAGAAGCAACTTTTATAATGAATCAGTATTGTTTTCTGTAGTTTTTGAGATATTGATATGGTTGATCTCCTTTAATTGGTAATGGGGGTATACATTTATATATTTCTACATTATTAAACCATTCTTATAATACTTTCATATACCTAAATTGGACACTGTTTATTAATATTTTTATAGACAACTGGGTTTGGTTTGCTAATATTTTATTTATAAATTTTTCATCTATATTCATGAACACGATAGACTTACTATTTTTCTTCATACCATATCTAATTTTTTTATCAAAATTATTCTGCCTCAAAAAGTGAGTTGCAGAACATGACCTTATTTTCCATTTTTTGTAGGCATCAGTATAATTTTGGAAGTTCTTTAAAACTGGTACACTTGCATGTCTATCCAGTTTCTGGTGAGTCTTTGATTTCTTTTTTTAAAATTAAGAGGTATTAAATAATTGTTTCAATTCCTTTAAAATTATTGAGAAAAAAATTCATGTTTTCTAATTCTTCTTAAATCAGTTTTTACCATTGTATGTCTGCATTAGTCTATCTCCTAAGTTTTCAAACATCAGGTCATTGAAGCCTACAAAAGCTTTTCAAATATGTCAGTAACTGAAAAGTTTACCACAGAGCTGAAAAGTTGACCATCACTGTTTCTGGTGAAACCCTAACCATCCATGTGACTCACCATTGCTCTTCTACTCCATGAAGATGTTTCATCTGTTATTCATTCTTGTTTTCTTTTAAAATTGTCATCTTTGGTTCTTCAGCAGCATCCTACCCCCAAACATAAACCCCATGTGACTATCAGACCAGCTTACTCTCCATAAATTGATTGCTAAATGGATTGAAATATTGACCTCTCTATAGAAAGTTCTTAATCCACTCGAGCCATGCAGT